TTTATAATTTTACTTTTACATTTACCTTCAAATCATCCAGAGTTTATTTTGCTGTAAGATGTATGGTAGGATATTTACAACTTTATGTTGTTAATGTTGAGCTACATGTTTAACAACTGTGGAATACTATAAATTTGTTGAATAATTCTATTTCCTACATAATTGTAATGCCTTCTTTATCATACAACAAATTATCTAATATGTATATAATTAAATTTTGATTGTTTTGTTCCATTTATTTGTTCAATTTTAGTCAAATCAGTCATTTTTTAATTATCCTAGGTTTATGACATATTCTAATATATTTTATAGAAAGCATCCCCTGGCTCTCCTAACTCTCATTGTATGGCATTTACTTTTCAAAATTTCCCTAGTTATTGAAATGGACTTTTAGTCCACTTTGTAATGTTCCAAAATAATTCCACTAGACTTTTCATGAGCACTGCAGTTATTACATAGAGTAGTTCAGTGAGAATTTATATTTTTATAGTTTTGATTCTATTATTTTTCTGTTAGCATGGTTTGATCTTCCTTTTTATCCAGGACAACAAATATGTAAGAAAAGATTATTTTCAGTAGATAACACACATCTTTTAATATTAACTTCATTTATAAATGAAATATGTATTTATCACATTTAAAAGATTACTACTGAGTTTATTATATCTGTTAAAATGCTCATATTAGATTTAATAATTTCCATTAAGTTTTCCAGTAGAAATTTGTATGATTTGTAAATTACCATAGTTTTGCTACCTTTTCTTCAATATTATTGCTTTATTTCCTCTTCTCTAATTTATAGTTCATTCATGTATTATAGCGTTAGCAGGATTTCTTTTTTGTATTCTTGATTTTAATGTTACATCTGTAATCTGATACTGACTTTTGGTTTAAAAACTCTATTACAAACATCATGTTAAAAATGTTTTTAATCCTTCTTGTATTACTGAGTTTTTATTATGAATGGATGTTGAAATTTATCCAATAACTGCTCAGTACATCCATTCCTTGAAAGTTTTATGGAAATTCATCTGAAATCTAATATAGCTGACCTCCTCCTCTCACAGTCATATGTAATGTACTGTAAGTTTTCAAGAATTTTCTCTTGATAGAACCACCAAAGGCTTTAAGTTGAGAGTTGCATGAACATATTTGATCTTTGTATAGACACATCTTGAAGTACAGAATGGGCTGAACTTTTCTATGATTGGAGACAGATAATTCAGGAGCCTTTTCTATTATAAAGATGAGAAAATATGTAGACTGGAAGCAAGAAAATGACAATGGAAATTAAGAGGAGGAAAATGGATTGAGAAAATATTTGAGAGTGAAAATTGTGCTTATGGGGAGATGGAAGGTAAAGAAAGGGCAAGAATGCTACACATAGGTGTCTATACTGGGCATTTGGGAGAGTGGTAATGACATTTACAAAATCATTTGAGTATTTTATAAGATTATAAATTCAGTTTGAAGTATTAACTTGAAGTTAAAAGTGGGACTTACATTTGTGTATACCACTTACAGTTTTGTATATTTTACTACGGAGTCCAAAGATAAAGCTACAGATTTAGAAGTCATCAACATCTAACCAAAAAAACACAAACCCATTGCTGTCAAATCGATTCCAACTCAAAGTGACCCTACAGGACAGAGTAGAACTGCCCCATATGGTTTCCAAGGGGCACCTGGTAGATTCGAACACCAGCCTTTTGGTTAGCAGCTGAACTCTTAACCACTGTATCACCAGGGGTTCCCAACATCTAGGTACTAGTTAAAATTAGTAAAAGCCAAAAACCTGATGCCATTGAGTCAATTCCAACTCATAGCAAACCAACAGGACAGAGCAGAGCTGCCCCATAGGGTTTCCAAGGCTGTAATCCTTACAGAAGCTGACTGCCTCATCTTTCTCCCACAGAGCAGCTGGTGAGTTCAAATCACTGACCTTTTGGTTAGCAGCTGAGTGCTTAACCACTGTGCCACCATGGCACCTTAGAATTAGCAAACTGGTATTGAATTAAAAAATACTTTGGACAAAGCCTTAATCACATCAAAAATTAAAGATGAGCAGAAAAAAAGTAATCCTGTGTAAGTGAAAGAGATAAAGAAGACAGAAATATAGGAGAATAATTAGAGGACTGCTGTCACAGAAATGCTAGGATTGCATCCAGCTGTAGGTAACAGAAAGCCTGATTTGCAATGGCTTCAGCAAATATATAGCTTATTTTTCTCACATGACAAGATATCAACAGGAAAACCATTGCTGTGGTTCAACATGTCCTTTGGGTTCTACGTCCTTGATAACTTTTCACTTTATTATTCTTAATATATAGGTTTTGGGATCTTATAATTGCTACATCATTAGGCAGAACATTATCATTAAATGCAGAAAAAAAGGGACCAGGAAAAGGATCTTTCTCCACATGAAACTTTTTCTTTTTATTTGCGAAGGAGACCTCTCCACAGTCAACATTGGTTTATTTCACATTAAACAGTTTCGGGTCAGATGCGCCATCTTAAACCAATCCATTGTCAAGGACATGGGATTACAGTAACTAGTTTAGAAAAATCACGTGTCATGCCATTGGGCAGAGATGGGGCTACTTTCTCAAAAAATTGTGAGATTTCAGCCCACTGCCTGAACAAACGGTACTTCTGTTGGTAAGAAAAGGAAAAGAGAAAGGCCAAAAAGCAAAGTGCATCGGGAGTTAGAGACAAAAAAGGGAATGATGAACAGCATCAAATCGTGCAGCAAGATCAAGGAAAATAAATGACTGAAAAGTGATTATCATGTTAGGTATTCAGAATCCAGAGTTTCTTCCTATTAAAAAAGGAACTGTTTTGACTTACCAACTGAATGAAAAGTGAGCGTAACTTTGTCAATGAAGCTTGGAGAGAGAAATGAGTAATTATTAAGGAACACAGGATTCAAAGATTTGATATTTTTAAAAGAGAGCTACTATGCTAATAGTTCAAGGGGAGTAAAGAGTTGAATAAAGTTTAATTGATGGATCTCTGGGGAATATTCAGGGTGGAATATTGAAGGAAGTGGCCTTAAAAAGTATAGAGATCTGGTTAGGAGCACAGACTATAGTGTTTGACATTTCTGGATACAAGTCCTGACTCTGACACTGATAATTCTGAGACTTAGTTTCATTTGTAAAATGAATCTAATAAAACAGTATATATCTCAGAATTTTTGTGAAGTTTAAAAAAAGACAGTGTTCTTAGTGCAATGTCTTACATGAGAGCAGCACTTAATATATGTTATCTATTAAAATCATACTTCTTTAGATAACATTTTATACTCATTAACAGGCATTTGATCTCTGGTATACAATATTTTATTGGATATAAAGATCTATGTGTGCACCAATGATAATAATGTGTCATCAGAAACACATTATGAGTAATCTGAATCTATCCAATTGACTTCCATTATAAACTGTAAAAAAAAAAAGTATTAAGCAGTTTTGACCTGATGACCTCTATCTATTAAGCCAGTGAAGTAGACAACTCAGCTAAAGAGAATTTGCAAGTTAGTGTCAAAATGTTGATGTCCAGGTGACAGAAAATGCCTGAGATTATACACCTAGCTAAGTTGTCAGAGAAAATGTCCAGAAATCCTTGAGGAATAAAAACAAAAGGTCTAATAATAGAGTAAGAAGGGAAGTAATCCCATTTGCCTCCATCTAAAATATTCAAAATTTTATTTCTCTTTTTATACAATCATTCTCCTCATGATGGTAATCCTTCTATTTTATTTTCCTTCTTTCCAATTTAATGATTTATAATTCCACTATATGCAACTCATAGAACAACTTAGCAGGATAAATAGAAAACCAACTTTTAGTGCCACTGATTCTGACACGTCCTCATTTCCTATCTACAGGTCATATGAAAACCAGCTCTTCTGTCCCAGTCAATGGGTGGACTAAATGACTCTGTGATTTCTGAGTTTGTGTTGCTAGGACTCTCCACTTCTTGGGAAGCTGAAGTTTTTCTCACGCTGACATTCTCCTTGCTCTATTTAGGGATCATCCTGGGAAACCTCTTCATTTTGTTTTTGGTTATTCTTGATTCTCACTTACATTCTCCCATGTACTTCCTGCTGGCCAACCTGTCACTAATTGACTTGGGTATTGCCTCTACCACAGTCCCCAAGATGATCACAGACCTTGTAAATGATTACAAAGTAATTTCTTTTCAAGGCTGTATGACACAGATATGCTTCATCCACATCTTAGGGTGAGTGGAGATGGTGTTACTCATAGCCATGGCATATGACAGATACACAGCCATATGTAAGCCTCTTCACTACTTGACCATCATGGGGCCTAAAGTATGTGTTTCAATCGTAGTTATTGGCTGGGTAACTGGGCTTATCCATGCTATGTCTCAGTTTTCATTTGTTATTAACTTGACCTTTTGTGAGCCCAATAAAATAGACAGCTTTTTTTGTGACTTTCCCAGGGTCATAAAACTTGCTTGCACAGATGGATACAAATTTGAGTTTATTATTGCTGCCAACAGTGGGTTCATGATCATGGGTACCTTCTTCCTGCTAATCCTTTCCTATGCCTTCATTTTGGTCACTGTCTGGAAATGTTCCTCAGGCGATGTATCAAAGGCATTTTTCACTTTGTCAGCTCACATCACTGTGGTTGTTCTATTTTTCACTCCATGCATGTTTCTTTATGTATGGCCTTTCCCCACATCATCACTTGATAAATACGTGTCCATTGTTGACTTTGCTATCACCCCTATCTTTAATCCTGCCATCTATACATTAAGGAACAAAGATATGAAGATAGCTATAAAAAGATTGAGCAAACGACGATATTACTTCAGATTTTGCTGACCAGATCTGTCTTTGGAACTCCAAAATTCTACATCCACTTGCCTCTTAGAAATCTCCACTTAAACAACCCACATTTAACATGACCATAACTGAATGAACTATCTATTTCCTGAAACCTATTTCTACTTCTTCGGTAGAGCATTTACTCATTACCTTTATAAAACGGGAAAAGTGAGATATCACTGTTACCTCTATCCCTTGATTTCCAGACACGCATTTTTTGGCGTAAGAGACATAGAAACATCTAAAGGTCATTTGTTCAAAGTATATTTCTTAAAGCACAGACCCCCAAGTCTGCATTGAGTCATCTTCAAGATGGTAACTCAGTTGTGATTTTAAAAAGCTATTCCAATGTTCAATCAGATTGACAGCTCCCAGTTGTTGACATATATGGTGGGAGCAGTGGGCTTCGTAGTTATGTGTGCTTTTGTGCACTTTCTTTGCTATAAAGTGGATTCCCTTGGTTCAAGAAAATATTATGCAGGATTTCAGGTTGGAAATCAGTCAATCTATGAGCGCTTGGATAGTGGTGCTAGCCAAAATACTCAAAGAAAGAAAGACAAACCAAACTAAGAATACATCTTAATCCCAGTATGGACAAATCTCTCTCTCCTCCAATTCATAAGGTTACAATGTAAGTAACTACACTTAAATTATTGATTTCAGTCCTCAACAAATGGTATAATTTCAAGGATGCATTTGTGCTGCTGACGGGTCGAACATTCTACGGTGAAAGAAGCTAGAAAGGCTCCTTCTCGAAGAATTTTATGCATAGCCTTCCTTTCTATCATGGTATCATTTTAATTCGTGGGCTCAGAGTGGAAACATTAGGTTGGCTGGAAGGAGGTTATCAATTGTTTCTCCTTTCAGCTAACTAGCCAAACACTGTACACCTAGTTAGTGATTCTTTGTATTAAATTCTCATTCTTCACATGCATTTGGTGTTTTCTGTTTCCTGGCTGACACCTGGCGGAGACATCTCATCCCCAAGAGAAGAAAAGAATAGAAAGACCTAAATTGTTACACTAGTGAATTCTTCCCAATACTTAAGAGAAAAAAAATCCTAAATAAACTCCTTTAGAGATATATAAAAAGGATGAGGTTTTTATATACAAGATCAAATAAAGGGTCTCTACTGCTAACAAAGAAATTAGAACATTTGACCTTTTCTTGGATGTTTCCATATTTAATAACCCAGTCACAGTGCTCAAATTTCACTACCTAAAAGGCAACCAGTTTGGGAGTATGACCCAGTACAATTAACTCTACAGCACGTGAACAGTAATCAGTGCCTGGATAAAGCCATGAAAGAGAATAGTCAGGTGCCCAGCACTAGGGACTGCAATTGGTCCCAGCAGTGTTTTCTCTGAAACATCACCCTTCCAGAAATATTCCGAGACCAAATTTACAGAAAAATAAGGATTAAGTGAACTACCTCAGCATACATTTCTGCTACATTCTTTTTTTATTTATTATTTTTTATTTTATTGTACTTCAGGTGAAGGCTTACAGAACAAATACTTTCTCATGAAACAGTAGTACACATGTTGTTTTATGACATGGGTTAACAACCCCACAACACATTAACCCTCTGACTTCTCAACCTTTTATTTTTGGTGAAAATACACATAGCCAAAGATACACCATTTCAAAAATTTCTACATAC